TTCTTTTTAACAATTACAGCCCTTTGAGAGCTTATTCTAGAAATTAATGTACTATGGAATGATTTGAGATCGAAGTTGAACTCCTGCCTATGATTGGGGGGGATTTGAGGGGTTGTACATTTTGGATAGGGTGAGCAATGGCTACAAGCTATTTCAGTATTTTACTGCTGTTTGTTCCAGCTGGGGAGATATCCCCTCCCCAAGTTGCTGCCACAACTCACAACCTGTCCCAATTACCATACAGGAAAAGAAGGGACATTTCCCCAAATGAGCACAGAGCAGTAAAAGCTTGACAGAGGTTTCAGGTCCTTTTCAAAATGTAAGATAAGCTAGCTGGAAAAAGTGAATAGTTATGAGCTTAAACCTGGTTTGGGTTACTAGGGACTCGGGTGTGATATAGGGCATAAGGTAAAATGTTCCTCCTTTAGTAAAATATTGCTATAAAGGCTAGAGATTACATACACACTTTTGAAGAGGGACGAAGTATTAAGAAATCTGTACATCCCCATGCAATACATATATCTGTTTAGTAGCAAGTGGGTTCATAAAGGGAATTTGTTTTATTTGACCCTATCTTCCTATCATCTGATGTCCTCCTTCACCAAAGGGTTACATTTAAAAAAAACAACCTATCAGTACTGCAGCATGTCATTCTTGGCTTGCTTTCCCCAGGAATACCATGATTACTGACATAGAAAAGGATTCGCACATAGAAATCTGTGTTCTGCAATTAGAGATCTACAGATGATCACGTCAAAAGCGTCTGGATTAAATGTTGTAAAGACCACAGTCAAAAAAACAAAGGCTGTACATAGGTACTTTGACCCACCAGTACAAGCCCATGCCCTGTACAAACATACAGTGGTGACCTGTGTTTTACTGCACCAGTCACTGCGAGGACACAGAGAAAACCTTTGTTTTCTCTGTGTCCTGTTCACACAGCAGGTGGGTGTGATGGGCACTGCAGAAAAATGCAGATATGCTGTTTCGATAAATTGTGTGCACTGCGCTACTGCTCATACACTTCCAAACAATGTGTACATTTTCATAAACATAAATTTTTAAACTTTAGGGGAATATTTAGCGCAGCACATTTTTATATATATACATATACACACGTATAAACATGCTGTTTCGCAGCACTGGATGCCACCGCAGGTCAATGCACGGCAGCATAGCACTCCGTGTTGTTGTGCGGGGACCTGAATGGAATGTACACATTGTATGCTACCATTAAAGTTTTAATAAAAAATGTAAACCTTGAAAGCTCCGGCAGCATGCATTGTATTAGCACACTGCTGGAGCTGCCACAACGCACTAGCTGTCACTAGCTAAAATGGAGTATTTTAGCAGATGGGCTAGTGTGAACGGGCCCTTTCTGCTGGATGTGTTGCAGATATCTGATGGTTCATACTGAATTAGAGAACAGTTTTCTTGAAGGCATGATGCAAAACCTGCCTACCTGTGTTATGTGATATACCTTTCCTTTTCCTTAATACTCCAAAGTACTAATGTGCTGCTTGCGCTCCTCACTATCTATATAATTAGTCTTTGCCCAAACATATTTAAATAGTGTTCTATGTGCATCAATATCTTATGGTCACATATACATCTCTCTGTGGTATTATTGGTAATGAGAAACTTAAATGACTTGTTTTGCCAATAAGATCCATGACATGCAAACCACTGCTGTTTATTAGAAGATCAGTATATCTCTAGAAATTGTACTAGTTATCATCTCTGGCTTTTTTTCCAGGTTTCTTGGCCTCTGAATATTGTCATCACAGACACTTGTATTAATAAATACAACAAAATTTTCTCCTTTCTGCTACAACTGAAGCATATGGTTTGGACACTAAGGGATGTTTGGTTTCACTTAAAACGTACAGGTAAAGCCTTGTCATGAAAATACAGCATGTGTATGATGACCCCTAAAGTCGGGCTTTTAATATAGTTGTATTTAATGACAGCATTTAACTTTAATGTAAGGAACAGTGAATTTTTTTTAATTGTCTCGTGTGCATATTGGTTGGTGTCTGTAGCTCCATTCTTCAATAAGTAATAGTCACAATTCCGTGTTATAACTCACAATAAGCACAGCAGGTTTAGGGACTTGTAATTATAGGACCGCTACTATACAGGTAGGGACTTGTAATTATAGGACCGCTACTATACAGGTAGGGACTTGACATGTATGAAAATATCCATTCTCTTCTAAACCTTACGGTTAGTTCACTATAAAGGTAGATATGGAATATTTATTATTTTGTTCAGAATTTGCTTTTCTTTGGGATCAAAAATGTTACAGTTCACTAAGTGTTTTATTGTATCAATTAGCTTAAAGAACGCTATCTTCTGGCTGGTGCTGTAGGGATCTATAAGGTGCGAGCAGAGACTGGAGCTGTTTTTGGTGGAGATCAAATCATTCATTGAAAACCAAAATTCATTTAAGAAAAATAAAGACTTTCAATAGTAAAATGTTTCTTGCAAAAAATGTACACAATTTGTGTATGAATTGACAATGTTGACAGTCAAAACCTTAAAGTGTGCTTCCACTTTTGCAAATTAAAAAAAAAAATCCCACTATGTTTGTGTTCTTATTCACACAGCATACCTATTCTATAGAAAAAATAATTGTATGTATATGTGTGTGTATATGTGTGTGTATATTGTATACATTGTATGTATATGTGTGTGTATATGTGTATATATATATACACATATGTATATGTGTATATATATATGTATATATATATATATATACACATATACACACACATATACATACAATTATTTTTTCTATAGAATAGGTATGCTGTGTGAATAAGAACACAAACATAGTGGGATTTTTTTTTTTAATTTGCAAAAGTGGAAGCACACTTTAAGGTTTTGACTGTCAACATTGTCAATTCATACACAAATTGTGTACATTTTTTGCAAGAAACATTTTACTATTGAAAGTCTTTATTTTTCTTAAATGAATTTTGGTTTTCAATGAATGATTTTGATCTCTATATATATTTCTAGTTGTTTCTTTGGGCAGACTGCATGCTATTATGAACAATATCAAAGTGAAAGTAAGAGTAATGCTGGGCATACACCTTACAACCATCGCAAGACAAAAGTCTACTTAAGGTAGTAAGTAAGGTACTTAAAAAAACGTACGATCTGCCCATCTTGGACAGGCAGATCGTACTTGCGATGATCGCAAGTCGCTCCCCGCTGAGGGTGGGCTTCCGATGACCGCAATCCCGAACGGGCAGTGTGCGCTTGCGCACACCAGCCATTCCGGCTTTTATCTTACGAACATGCTACACACCCGCCGAACATCGTACGATGCTCGGCGGGTTTTCGAACATGTTAGTAAGTTTAAAGTCGTGCGACCTTACAGTAGTAGAGGTTGCACGGCTTCCACACACCTTACGATTATCGTAAGGTGTGTGGGCACCCTTATCCTTATACAATGCAGAACACAAGGCCCGAGATCTTTACCCTTTGTTAGGACACACAGTGCTTATATCTAGTATACAACTGATGATGATATCTACCAGCACAGTACAGACAGGATTAATTACAGTAAACATGGCTCCCAAATCCCCTTCTTAACAGTACATAAGGAGCAAAAACTTCCGTTTTGGAGTTTTTCAGAAAAGAGCAAGGAACAATGTAAGCTCCAATTTATTTGAACGTGAACATGTAACAAATATGAAGCAGATGTTCTCCAAGTTTGACTGCAAATGTGGAAATCCACTTTAAAATCACCCATGTCAGCTGAATGAGATGTGTGACAGCCTGAAAAGCACTCCCAGGTATTTGGAGGAGAACCTTGTTTGTGTCTGCAGCGTGATATGATTTTTAGGGATTAATGATTTGAATATTAGTAATATTGATATTTTCCTTTCAGCTTTAGTGAACCAAGCATCTAATTCAGTCCAGTATCGACAGCTCCAGCTGTACCGGCATGAAATGCAGCATTTTGTGAAAGTTATCCAAGGGTATATCGCCAACCAAATTCTGCATGTTACATGGGCTGAGTTTAGAAACAAACTTCATACAGTCAGCAACCTGGAGGAAATTTGCAAGGCACACACGGAATACCTCAACAAGGCCCTTTTTAGGTACATACAGTGTGCAGTTAAAATGTAATGCTTTATTACATGGATAAGTGTGTGTGTGTTGACCTGCAGCAAACATGAAAGTCCATTTTGTAAGTGATTTACGATTCTTTGTGGTAATGTAGAGGGGCAGTGATGATGTATATGTGTGCACTTTTTCATGACTCACATTGCAGGCTTTCTTCATTTTTATGGACTTTTTAGTAGGCCGGAATCCTAAAAATTAAACATTTTCTCCACAGGAAATTCAGTCTGATGCTGGGGTCAGATTGTCTTGTAAAGTAGCTGACCTCCTCCCTGTGAGTGAATGTAACAGGATCATTGCAGCCCAGCCTTTCCAGGTCCCAATACACTGTTCGGAGTGGGGGTTGCCACTGTGAATATTAATGAATGGGGAGAGAGCTTAGAGAGTGTTAATTTACACAGACTGCTTGTAGAGCACAGAGGTGGCCATTTCAAAAGAAGCCATGAGGAGATGACAAAAGTGTAAGTTTCTGTGTTCATATACATCAGCTGCATGAGCCTGCTTCATGAACACTCGGTGTACATTGCTGGCATATGTTTTAAAAAAAATACCTCTGCAAAGGTGGACATGAGCTTGAATGTGCACAGCAGGGCTGGACAAATCCCAGATGCCAGGTTGCCAATGCTCCTGAAAAATGACAGCTAACTTTTGAGGTTTTCTCTAGTTGTCAATAGAGCTTGCTCCTGAATTCCATTTTAATTTGTCCACCCCTGTATACAGTATATGTGCACATGGCAGGGAAATAGGAAAATACATCTTTTTACTGAAAGCAGGACATGTTGTAAGTTTAGATTTTCCAGTGGAAAAATACATTTGCATCTCCAGACTTCTTTTACTGGAGATTTATCCGACAGCAAACATAAAATGAATTGGGCAAAGTCCCTTCCTAATTGAGTGTATGTTGGTACACAGCTAGTCCTTGCCGTTTGAAGGGAATTTCATACAGTAACTGTAAAATCAATAGCAGTAGTGCTATTCCAGAGCTCATTACACACGGGCACAGAGCCCCATATACTGTAAAACACGTCTGGATCTCTGTGCCCGGGAACCACAGAAGTTGTATACATGATGGGCTGTGGCTGTATGGCTTTTAACTGTTTTTTTCCAAGTGTATCCTTGCATACACCCCTAGCTGGGTGCAGAGCTACATGGACGTATGTGGATACATTAGTGTCAGACATATTATTGTAGGGTACATTTTGACTTTTTTTTTCCCCTAGGGGTCTTCTAACGGACAAGGCAGCTCCATTGATGAAAATTATACACAGCATTTTCAGTCTCATCCTAAAGTTCCGTATGCAGCTTATCTCTCAGCCATGGGTGTGTGATAAGGAAAAGCAGGTGGCTAGCCACCCCAACTACACACTAATGCAGCAATCTTACAATACTTTCAAGTATTACTCTGACTTTTTGTTTGAAGGTAAGTCAACTGCCCACATGGTCTCTTCCTTTATGAACAGGTTGGGCTTTTGTCCTTGGAATATCCTATTATAATTACATTGGTACATCTGCCACAAACCTGATGTATGGTAAAAAATGGATAACGGGAGGTTACCTTCAGTGAAACCCTCTTGTCAGGATAACCAGTAGATTGGTATAGACAGCTGATACTGTTTGGAAATCTCAACTTTACTTGTGAAAGTTTGGCCTCAATCTTTCCTGTTGGTCAGTAAGGTTGGCAATCACATTTAGGTACCAGTGGAGAAGATTGGGAGGTGAGACTGGATAGGCCAAGCTTGGCTTTTACAGGAAATGTGCATATCTGAGATCTGCATACAAGTTCAGCTGCATAGATCTCTGGATATGCTGAGCGTTCTGAGAAGTGATCATCACTGAAGTTAACCTTTACGATACATGTTCTTTCATCCTGTGCTCGGCTTGTTCTTATCCAACATGGACACAACCACAGATCAGGATGTACAAATGTACCATTTGAAGAAACACTTTTTGGTAGTTACATATTGTCCATTATAGGAGATACCCAACAAAGAATAATATGTAAACACTAAAATATTGTGCGGATGATCCAGCCGTGGTAACCGGCAGGAATAAGAAATGAACCGGCTGGTAGAACTATTGCTTGTACAGCCTCTCCAGAGTCTAAAACTAGACATGGGCTGCAGAACTTGTGTTGGATAATCTCTGTATGTTGTCCCTGAGCATAGGTAAACCTCTGATGGCTACTGCTGTGTTCCTCCAACTGAGAGAACAGTTCAGTACAGTTCAGTATATCATGTAATATCATAATAGGGCTTCTGGCTTTGTTACAGGGTAAAAGGGGAGATGTGCACCTTCCTTCTCTTCTATCATTGACAATAGGAAAGGGCCAGGTCAGATAGATTTTTCCAATTGATTGGACAATCATTTGTGTTAATGATAAGTTCTTCCAGTACCCAGCAGAGTTTATCACCCTCTGGCCTTTAACAGATCAAGCATCATAAGGCATCAGAACAGGGGCAGGATTGGGTATAGTTTATGCCTACCCTAGGGGCCAAATGCAAATATTTTAGGAAAAGTCTGCTGCTGATCATGACCTGGGAGGCCAGTATGACTGTAGTCATTAGCAAACTAGTAATATTGGCCCATAAAAAGTTTCATTCATATGCACACCTCGTTGGGCACACCGATAGAATTGTGTTGTAGTCATATAAATATTCCTCCTAGTGTTTATTGGGAAATAGAGATGTCACTGATGGGATTAATCAGATCATTGTAGGAAAATCAACTATTGTGTTTGCTTTATTTGCATTCTAGTGGTAACCAAGCTTGTAAATCGAGGATACCAACCACATCTGGAAGATTTCTTACTGCGTATTAACTTCAACAATTACTACAAAGAGAACTGAACAGACGGACACAATTGTGTATATGTGCAGTATAAATGTATAATAAATAAATTATGTTTTTGGTAAATAGCTACCGCTGCGTATTTTGTTACATAGAGTGATTTCTGTCATTGACTGAATCTCTTGTGACAGCAACAAAGTGCTGTGTAGTGTTATTGGCCTACAAATGGCAGCATTAGTTAGCATCAGTCATGACTCCACAGAGAACAGCTCCGGCATTTTCATATGATTCCAAGACAAGCAGCTGCAACATGCCTGTGTATGTCTTTTTTTCTTTAAAGCTGAACTCCAGGAAGGTAAAAGACGCACAATAATGCAGCTTTTGTATTCATTAATAAATTCTTAAATGTTTTTTGTTTTTTTTTAAATGCCACTAGTTAGAAGTACACGGATTTGACTTGGTGCCAACCTCTTGCATTCTCACATACAGCAGTATTCAGACACGGAGGGGCAGGATTGTGAGCCACTTAGATGTGCTGCATGCAAATGTGTTGACAAGGAATCGGATGATAGGAGTGAGCAGAGAGCTGATTTCATCTGTCTGCTGCTGCTCTTTTCTTGTCCAGTCAGCTGACGGCATAGGGACAGGACACTGCTGTATTCTCTAAGGCCTCGTTCACACCTGAACGTTTTGTAGCGTGTTCTACGCTCGACGAGCGCTCTACAAAACGCTCAAACATCTAAATCCCATTGTATTCAATGGGTCTGGTTCACACCTTGGCGTATTTCAGCCCGTCCCTAACGCGCTACAAAATGGCCCACGCCTGAAAAGGTACAGGTACTACTTTGGGCCGTTTTTGTTGCGCGTTTCCATTGGGATACAGCCAAGTAGCCCTCGGAAACGCGCGTTTGTCGCGTGATTTTTTTACCGCGAGTCGCGGTAAAAATAAACGCGCGACAGACGCGCATATGCAATACGCCTAGGTGTGAACCAGGCCTAACTGTTAGTGGTGTCACATACCTGGCTGTGTAGGTCTCAGAACTGATTAGACAGAAATACAAATCCTATGTCAGGTAACACCGCTCCCACCTGTGTATGTATTGGTTTGCCTTGAGTCCAGCATAGGCCAGAGTAGAAGAATCTTTGAACATCGGCTCCTGCAGCTTCCTCCGCCCACCGCAGCTGCCATAGGCTGGGAGGAAGACTGCAGAGCTGCTACTGGCTGGAAGGACAGCGCGGGAGAAGCAGGACACCTGGGACATGGAGAATACATTGCTGTACGCCGTATACTAGTATCAGTGCATCTCTAGTTTTAACAAAAGGGTTAAAGATCTCAATCTATTGTATGTTAATGAACTTAAGGGAGTGTTTTGTTTTTTTTAAATCTGCACACGGGCATCTATTCTAACCAATAGAAGCTGCCTGTATTATCATTTTTATAATCCAAACAGCTAGAAAGTAGTAATTTAAAAAATATATATATATTTTTTTAGGTATGCTGTGTGAATGGGAACACAAACATACAGTGGTGGTTTCTCAAATGTGGTTGCAAAATACACGTTGAGCTTATTATTGATGCCAGTGCAGTGTACAGCAGCCCCTAGTAAGGAAAGATGGAATTAGTCTGTGATGGGTTAATAGAGTTTGCACCCTGCACATTAATTAATTAAATATGTTTAGTTCAACACTACAACTGCACAGCTTTTGATTTATTCATCGGAACCACAATTCAGAGGGAACATCTCAAGGCATTTATTATATAAGAGATGGGTCAGTAGATGAAGCAGGTGGCTTTAAAGTGTGGTAGTGTGGTAAAGCTGGGCAGTGTGGTTTTCTTGTCCTAATTTGCAATGTCAGTCAAGTCTTTCTTCTACCCTGTAATTGGCTATATAAATAATGACTCTCCCTCAATATACTGGACATTGGAGACAAATAAGCAGTGATCCACACCTGTAGCCGTAGTCACTACTTCAATCTGGCCATTTTTGGACTACAGCAGCCACGCATTAACTGCATTTCTTCAGGTGCAGCATTGGATGTAGTAGTGTTTAAAGATGAATCTATTTGTCAGGATGGTCTTTAAAAGGTAGCCATACACCCTACAACCATTGTACAACTTTTTTTGTCCAGACCTCTCACTCTCGTTCAATTTTCTTACAACTATCCCATCATGCACAGACCAATGTAGTTCGCAATTAACGCTCGTCAGCACCACTAACTGGCTTGAAAGACAAAAATTGTACATTGTAATTGAGGTTGTACACTCCCCATCAACTGGCAGATTTTTTGACAAACGCAATCGCAGACAAAAATCTCCAGCTAATTGTAAGGTGTAGGGGTACCGTAACAGTGCCATGCTGTTCTTTCTCATTGCCCTCTAGGGACTTCTCACAAGGTATAACAACTCATAACAACAGCTAAAAATAAGATCTGATTTAAAAAAAAAAAGGTTCTGCTTTAGGCAACAACTCCACAATTTGCATGCTGCATACCACACTAGGGTTAGTAAAGCTACATTTATTTAACATCATAAAACATGTATGGTATAGGTATTAGGCAAGCACATAAAAAAAGCAGTCCGATCCAATGCTGCACATGGCACATGAAAATTGTCAAGAAGAGCTTTGTGGGACTTCCAACACAGCTCACTTAAAGTGACACTAAACTCAGGAGTTAAATCTTAGAAATCCATTCAAGTACCTTAACTATTAACAAAAATGTATCTTATTTGTGTATCACTCGGCTGTAGATCCTCAAACCATCTCTGAATTGGTGGTGACACTGTCCTTCCTTCTGGAGGGTGACTACTTTTCTTCCCCATGGCCACTGTGTGTGTTGTAAAGTAGCCACCGCTCCAAGATCACTCCCATGATGGACTACAAACTCAGTACAAATTAGTAAACTAAACGTGAGATTGTAGTCCATCGCAGTAGCGAGCTTGGAGTGGTGACTACTTTACAACACACACGGGGACCATGAGGAACAAAGGTAGCCACCCTCCAGAAGGAAGGACAGTGTCCGCACCAATTCAGAAATGATTTGAGGATCTACAACCGAGTGATACACAAATAATTAACCCCTTTGTGACGGGAGACGTACAGTGTACGTCCCGGCACTTTCTGCCTATATGACTGTACGTGACGAGTTATATCAGGCTTTGTAATGCTGGTAACAGCTGATTCTCAGTGGTTACCAGTCATTAAAGAATGTCTCAGCATTGAGGCATTCATTAATGAAATAATTAAGCTTTTTGTAAAAGCTTCTTCCTTTCAGTAATGAAAGAATGAAGCCGTTACATGCAAATACAGGACAGCAATTTGCGATCCCGTATTTGACAGCTGAAAATAGCAGAGAGGCAGCAGTGACTCACCTCTGCTATTTGTTTTGAAAGCTCGAGAGCCTGATGTTTAGATACATTTCACTAAAAAGATATACATTGTATCTTTTGAGTGAAATGTATCAATTCTGATCGTCTAGGCACGATCAAAGAGCTTTTAGTGAGATCTGAATCTGGCTAAAGTCAGGATCAGTCTCTAAGGTTATTATTAGCTGTCTAATAGCCCAAAAAATGTTTTAAAAAGTTAATTTATCAAGCAGTCATAGTGATTGCTTGATATAAACTGACAAGAAAAAAAAAAATAATCAAAACTTGTGAAAAAATTGTTTTCTTCTAGTTTTTTTTCCTCATTTTTTATATTTGATTCATACTAAGTGAGGCGTTAGGTACATGTTTCATATAATTATATAGACCTATCTGTCCTCTAAAAAACAATATATAATGTGTGGGTACATTTAGTAAGAAAGTACATTACTGCTGTGGAAGAATCACACAGCAAAAATGTAAAAAGTGTGTCAGTCATTTATGAACAGAACCTGAAAACTAGCTCAGTCATGAAGGGGTTAACATTGTTAATAGTTAAGGTACTTGAATGTATTTCTAGGATTTTACGCCTAAGTGTCACTTTAATAAATGAGATGACACAAAAGAGATTTCTAAATACTGAAAATTGTAGTTGTGCTTGGTGTTTATTTTAAAATTATATAACATGTAAATGAACTGTACACTAAGGTAATTAATGTTATGCGCATATAAATTTACTTTTCAACATTTTAGAATAAAAAAACTAAATATAAAATAAAAAATACAGAAACTGATCAATATCCTTTTAATCTTAACCACCTAATGTTTTAAAAGGATGCCAAAACCAAAATGTAAACTGTCTTCCTGGAGGGAACCTGTCCTAAGAAACATATGTTGATCTTTGCGTGGAAATGCTAACTGGCTGTTTTACTACATTGTGGGTCACCCTGGCTGTACAGTGGACATAAGTCTATGCACCCATGTACAAATGGAAGGTTTTTGAGATGTAATAAAAATCAAAGAAATCACTTCAGAATCTTTCCATGTTTAATATGGCCTATAATCTGTACAATTCGATTAAAAACAAACTGACATCTTTAAAGGGGGGAAATGATAAAAAATGTACAAGAATGTGGTTGCATAAATATGCACACCCTTAAACTAATACTTTGTTGAAGCACCTTTTGATTTTATGACAGCATTCAATCTTTTGGTGTAGGAGTCTATCAGCATGGCATATCTATCCTTGAGAATCTTTGCCCAATCTTCCTTGCAAGTGTTCCAAATCTGTCAGATTATGAGGGCATCTCCTGGGCACAGCCCTCTTCAGGTCACCCCACAGATTTTCAATTGGATTCAGGTCTGGGCCATTCCAAAACTTTGATCATCTTCTGGCGGAGCCATCCTTCTTCTGTTGACTTGGAGGTATGGTTTGGATCATCATGCTTAAAGGAGAACTATGAGGTGAGTGCTTTTCACTCACCTCATAGTTCTAGCCGACCTGTGACAATGAGACTGTCACAGGTCGGCTCAGTAGATCGGGAGGTGAGCGAACACATACCGGCGTTCGCTCACCTCTCGATCCTGTCACGGCTCTCTGCCGTGACAGGGGGAGGGGCTGGATTCCCCCCTCCCCACTCCGATCCGCCAGCGCTGACTGGCGGAACGGATGGGGGAGGGGGGCAGGTACAGCTAAAGAGGTGAAATTCCTCTTTAGCTTTTTAGCAGAGGCCTGAAGCTTTGCCACCAAAAATGACCGATATTTGAAACTGTTCATAAGTCCCCCCGCCTTGTTTTAATGCTTCAATGTAGGTATGGTGTTATTTTGTTGATTCAGTGTTGTTTTTGCACCAAACATACTTTTTGGAATTATGGCCAAAAAGTTCAGTCTTGGTCTCATCAGACCATAACACATTTTCCCACATGCTTTTGTCAGACTTGATGTCGGCTTTTGCAAATGTAGCCGGGCTTGGATGTTTTTCTTAGTAAGAAAAGGCTTATGTGTTGCCACCCTATCCTCACAGCCCAGACATATGAAGAATACAGGAGATTGTTGTGACATGTAGTACACAACCAGTACTTGCCACAAATTACTGCAGCTCTTTTAATGTTGTTAGAGGCCTCTTGGCAGCCTCCTGGACAGGTTTTCATCAATTTTGGAGGAATATGTAGTTCTTGGTAAGATCGTTGTGCCATATTTCTTTTCAAATTACCCTCTTCATTGTGTTCCATGGTATATCCAATGCCTTGGAATTTTTGTTTTTCTACCCTTCTTGCGACTGATACCTTCCAATAATGAGATTGCTTTGAGGACCATGGCAACTGAGTAAATGTCAGAAAACTCCAACTAGAACAGTTGAATTTTATATGGTCAGTTTGAATGCGATTGGTTCATTCTGAACGCAGCCACATGCCTAATTCTAAAAGAGGACGTGCACACCGATGCAGCCACATCCCTAATTACAAGAGGACGTGCACACCAACAGTCACATTATTTATTTTTTCCCCCACTAAACAATTTGTTTTTAATTAAATTGCACAAAGTTTGAGTCACGTGGTGGCTAAAAGTCTGAAGTGATTTAGCGTGGTCTGATTATTATTATTTTTTGCATCTCAAAAACCTGGCATTTTTACAGGGGTGTGTTACACACACACACACACACGAAACTTGAATAATTAGAATATCGTGCAAAAGTAATTGCAGTAAGTGCTGCAAAAGGGGCCCAAACCAAGTACTGAGTACATATGCATGCTTGTACTTTTCAGAGGTCCGATATTGTTCTATGTACAATCCTTGTTTTATTGATTGCATGTAATCTACTTTTTTGAGGTTGTGGATTTGGGGTTCTTGGGGTTTTCATGAGCTGTAAGCCATAATCATCACAATGATGACAAATCACGGCTTGAACTATCTTGCTTTGCATGTAATGAGTCTATCTCATATATTAGTTTCACCTTTTAAGTTGCATTAGTAAAATAAATGAACTTTGCACAATATTTAATTATTCGAGTTTCACCTGTATATACGTGTACACACACACTGTATATGTGAAATTAAAGTAATGGATCTGGACTTGCATACTAGTCCTGGATCAGTAAGTCAAAGAGTTGTCAGCACCGCAAGAGGCATGTATTACAATTGAGGTCCACAGAGAAACAAAGATACTGTGACCATCTAACATTTTACCTACAAAAAGATAATATAGCAAAATAATTTATTTTTTTGCCTATATCATGTGTGAAACTTTACAAATGGGACAGAAATAAATTTTACTTTGGGATCTGCATTGTTTTGTTATCTCATTATGTACCTTACATCAACCAAGCCAGTAAAAATCAATACACAATCTGCAAATGAAAACTGTTGTATGATGGTAATCAATATAAAAAGAAAAAAGCCCGGTTTCTACATCCTCCACCTATCTTCGTAACAAAGTACACTCTGTACAAAGGCACAGAGTAAGCAGCAAAAAATGTCTTGAAATCCTTTAAATGCAATTGCTTCATTTCCCAATTGCAATAGTTCTGTGTATAAAAGCATCAAGCCCATCATAAATGATATTATAAGTTGGAGCACGTGATGACATACCTCTAGTTTCCACTATGGAACACATCATCAACTAGGTCACAAGAACAAAGAGAGCTGAGCTAGACAACCTATGATAGATTTTCCTGACATACAACAGAGCACGTTATTTACTATGGCATCACAGGGGCTGTATTTCAGCAGATGCCCCAGAGGCTGTTCAACCTTGCTTTATTAATTCAACAGAAAATATTTGGCTTGAGTCAATTAACAGGCTGTTGTATCACGCTACACAATGCTAAAACATGCAACAAGCACTAGAGGTAACATCAGGCCAAAAACACGTCACATTCCTGAATTGATATTTTTGCCGTCATGTGCAAATCACATTTGGATTCTATAGAAAGATTTTAATGGCAAATAAATATTTTTGTAACAATCTTTATCCCTGTTAAGTGGTTATAATGTTTCCAAGAATCCAAATGTAGATTTAAAAAACCTGTATGTACTTGTTATACTGAGCCTTGGTACGATTCTTTTCCTGCATAAAAACACTACAGAAAAGGATCAACAACAAGGCTATTATGAAGATCAGGTGACACATAGTTCTGTAGCCCAAAGTGGAGGTTTGCTGCTATATGGAAGTTTGGAGAGGTTTGTGGGTCTAGAAATGGCCAAAGCACAAGCTTCCAGACGTTCTTCTTCAGCATGTTCGGGAATCTCTTCCTCCTTCTCGACTTCATAAGGATTTTCCAAAATCTTCAGGACACGCTTCACCTGGTGATCAATTAAAAGACCATACTTTTAGGAAACCGAATGCCTTGAAGGGAAAGACTCGCATATAAATCATAAATCAATTGTGAATACAGGGAATAGGGACACAGGTTTGGCACAACAGTAAATGGAGTTAGGTTAAAATATGTCAGAGAAATTTGTGGGCTGGCACTGCAGACCAACATCTGTACATGCAAGTAGCCCAACTAAAATACTAACAGTTAAAGCGGACCTTCATCCATATCTTTAACCCCTTCATGACTGAGGCCCTTTCTTCAATTTTTGCAGGGGAGGGAAAGCCTTTCCCTGAGATTACAGATGAGATTTCCCAGCAATGCTCTGCTGATGACAAGGAAATCCCAGTGTGCATTACATTGGCAAACTGAAGTCACTTTACCCTTTCAAAGCAGGAAGTGAATGTTAAGTGCAAGTGTAAGTATTTCACAATCACAGCATTTTACACCTGACATGTCTATGTTATTATTAATCATCATACACAGGAGGGATGCATTGGTAGAATTTGATTTTTGAGTGTAAAGGCCCACTTCAAGTTAAGGCATGAGCTCAGGTTCAGACTTAAACCAGTCCTAACCTGAGCAAATTCAAACATGTAGCTACACGGGCTTCTCACCCAATCAGCTGCAGGTCGGGGCATTCCCAACCCTGCAGCTGACCATAAAAAGGGGGCGGGATGACTGTGCTGATAACATTTACCTTATATGGCCACATTGGGCAAGTGTCATTTACCTAATATAGCCATGTAATTATACAAGGTCAATGATGTCACTGCATCCTGCCCCTTTGCTGCTTACATGCAGCTGCAGGTAGCGAATTCCCTGGCTGCAGCTGATTGGGTGGCAGCAATAGGAGTTTCCTTCCATGTTTGGAGAAGCTCAAGCGTGGGCCAGGTTCAGGCCAAACCTAAGCTCATCCCTATTTAAGTCTAAAGTAAACCTGTTCTTTGCCCATACAGGGCGTAGCAACAATTTGCTTTAATGTGTGCCGCCCCCTCCCCCACCCCCATTTAATTGCACTCTTGGTGCTGTGTAAGTAAGGAAAATTACATGCACCCTAACAACGAGGGGTGAAAGACTTAATTATTTCTGCTGCTGCTAGGATAAAGTTAATGATTGTTAAATAATGATAACTGAGAATAAGGATACAGCTGAAGCGTTACCTCTGTGAAGTCTCCATTCTCAGCTGCCTCTATGGCATTCTGAGCTATATAATTTCTCAGGATGTGTGCTGGGTTATTAGAATTCATGTTTTTCACCCGCTCTGCATCTAAAGTCTCACTAGCTTCAGAATGTTCTTGTTCTTTCTCCAAGCGAACGCTGAAAGAAAAAGGTTAGCATATATGTGTGAGTGAATGTATACTACAACCTTTATTGTGGTTTCCCCCCCATCAAGAAGAGTATTGAACACAGGATACACAATGAATAGGACATAAATTTGTCATGTATAAGGCAAAATAAAACCCAACATAAAGTCCAATATAGTAATACAAACATGTATTGGGGCTGTTTAAGTTTGAAGGTTTCCCCTATTTGTAGTGCACGTTGAGCGATATGATGCCAACCATGGGGTGTGCAGGGGTGTGGGTGGTAGTCTATGTGGGAGAGATGGGCGTGTATTGCAATTGCTTAGACTAGCCTGCCTTGTTTGTGTGTACACACACACACACACACACACACACACACACACACACACACACACACACAGAGCGTCCAGGTTCTGGGGATGAAGGCATGTTTAAGGAGTGGGGAAAAGCACGGAGGGTATAAGGAACATGAGTGGGAAGAGTACAAAAGGGGGAAAAGGTAAGGGTCAGGGGGTACAGGGAGAAAGAAAAAAAAAAGGAAAAAGAAAGGGAGAAGGAAAAAGAAAGGGAGAAGGAAAAAGCAGGAGAAGGAGTAGAGGCTTCCATCTGAACAGAAGCCAACTGTAATCACACTGCCTCGGTTATGAACTTTAAACATTTATTTCTTCACAATGTTTGTAGATACTGGTTGTTGTAATCACTACACACTAACGTTATAGTGCTAAAACTCCATAAACATGTTTAGGTATGGGGAACCTGGCATCTGAAAGTGTACATTCCCAACACACATCAGCAGTAAATACCCACACACTCGCCTATTCCAGTGTCAGGATTTAAAAGCCTACGTTACTCTTACCAGAACCTTAATGGTAAGTAATGGTAAGGTAACCCAACTACACAACTGACCCATTGTGGTGCTCATTGTGTAACACTGCTGTTAATTCACAGTTCATGAATATAAATGTGTCTACTGGGCTTCTTGCAAAGTCTTCTAATCTTTCAGAAGATTTAGGATGTCCTACCTTCAAGGACATGAAGCTAAAATAGAGCTTCCTCCTCCTGTACAGAGGGTATAACCCACAAGGGAAGTAGAATGGATTTGCTTTTTCACTAGTGTCCATCCTTCCTGTGAGTAGCACTTATATGACAGGTCTGCTGTGAACATAAATGTATGTTTGTTATTCTTGTGTGACAATATACCTATATTTCTGAAGCCACTCTTTCCAGTGCTCCCGGTTATTGTTCAGTAGATCCTCACCGCTGGATTTCTGAAGTTTTTCAAACTTTTCAATATTTTCCAGCTCTTTGTTTATGTTTGCTTTTGACCCAATCAATGCAAATAATTGAGGGTTGCTTTGTGCCAGCATCAGCAACACTGAAAGTTGTCTGAAACCAGAAATAGAATCATGCCACTAATGTACCTAGTTTTCAAATCACTGGTATAATTATAAAGCATTATTACACATAAAATGGTACTTTGGAAAGAAAAAAAAAAAAAAAAACCAAAAAAACACAATATACTCGTAATTTTTCTCTAAACTAAACACCATACTATTCCATAAACTAGCAGCTGTGCCAATATCACCAGGGATATATAGACATTCTTTAAAAATGTCCTATGTATAATGCCAATCTTTTGTGCTTATACTAAGGACTACACCTCCCACCAATAGATTACATACTTAATAAAATATTACACAATATGTGTGACCACCCTATTCATTAAGAAAGGTCAGAAATCACTTGTATGCTGCTATCCTTGTTACCCCCTTTAAATACCCTCTGTGCCCAAATTACTTTTCACTCCATAAGTTCATAAACACAGGCATAAAAGAAGTGAAGGGAGGTTGCACAGTGTAAAAAACTTCCAATTGCTTTATTAAGAAGTTAAATAAAGGTAAATAAAGACTCACAATTGTTGGTGTGGTACGGAGAGCTAATCTGTAAAACTTCTACACAATGTCCTCTCCGGTCTGACAAGAGTAGGTCTGTACCTTGTACAATATGTGCTGGGTATTATGTTATATAATTTTATAACTGGGGGGAGTATAGAAGAGCACTGCAGCACTGGGGTCCCCGGTTCTAATCCCAGTCAGAACACTATCTGCAAGGAATTTACATTTTCCCCCTGTGCTTTTGTGGGTTTCCTCTCGGTACTCTGGTTTCCACCCACACTCAAAAGACATGCTGGAAGGTTAATTGGCTCCTTTCAAAATTGCCCTTGTATGTATACATGTGAGATAGGGACCTTAGATTGTAAGCTCCTTGAGGGCAGGGACTGATGTGATCGTGCAACTATGTAAAGCACTGCGTAAATTGTCAGCGCTATATAAAAGAATGACAACAACAGTAATAGGAGGTGAATGTAATACATTTTTAGTATAAAAAACACAAAAGATGGTCACTATAGAAATGAAAATGATCACACAGATCACCTTAAAATACAACCTAAGGATGGGTAATTTAGCTGGTTGAGTGGATTCTTCAGAAACAGGAGGCTTCCAAACAATAGATACCAATTTCAAATGGGTGAAATAATGATTCCACACCTAAAGGAATATTTATAATTGTGAGGGTTCACCATGATATAAAATAACAAAAGAAAGCGAAAATAAAGTAATCTTCCCACCTCCAATGATCAGTCTTAAGGCTTGTGCACACCATAAACAGTGTGTTCCAGAGCGGTCAGCTGCTGAAACATACTGTATTGCATCCCAGCTGGCTTCCTGCGTTCAGGGGCGTAGCGGTGCCTTGAAGGCAATGGCACCGCAGGCACACACAACAACCCCCCCCCCGCCTGCAGTGCAACTGCCGGCAGCAGAACTCGTGGCACCTCATTGCAACATTTTTTCAGATTGCACTGGACCGGAACGCAGGCACTGATGTGCCACAAGTTCTGGTGTGGGCGATCGCACTGCGGGACGGGAACGCACAGCACCTGGTGTGAACTGGTCCGTAGTGAATTGAGCATTTATTTTCAGTTTGCAAGACTGGGATTCTAATAAGCAAATTAGCTTCTATTCTAAACAAGACAGCCACAATAGATTATCTGTGCAGCCCCTGGGAGGTATGTAGTGCCTATAATTTGCTAAGCAAGCGTGGCCACGCACTTTTTTTTTTTCTTCCACAGCATATGACCAACAGACAATTATGCAATGCTAGGTAAAGAAATTATGCAATGCTTGATATTTATTTTACCTTGGATCCATTTTAGGTTTGTAAAAAACCTTTAATTCCTCCAAGGTAGCACACTGTTGAGTGATTGTGCTCAAGAAGTCATCAATATCAGAGGCGTGTCCTGAGAATTTACTGAGAACTCGGAAAGTGTTGGTAAAATCTGAGCCTAGAGCAAGACATTAATCAGGGACTGATGTCATCAATAACATGTTCTGTAATATGCACAGCATAAACTAAGACGTATCCATCACTTATGGATTAAAGTCCACCACTGTGTTGCTCATTAAGATTATCAAGATATATACACTCGGCCCAAAAATCAACACAATAAGTACTAATCGTTTACAGAAGTCAGAAATACAACATTTCCAAGAATACTGAAGAATACTGAAAAGTTCAAGGCAAAAATACATATCTAGAGTGTACAGAATACTGATCAGTTTGTGTATAGCATTTTATCTCTACATTTTCATAATCAAACCCCTGTGTTAGCTGCCAAATAGATTTCTGTCTAATGTAATTTGCAAATACCCATATTTCTTGTATAAGCCTCAATGTCCCCAAGTTTGCATTGTCAGAAGGAATTATGTACTGTTCGGGTGCTTTTGGAATACCCCTGTATATTAATGTAAGTAATACCAACACCCTTGTGTCCTAACATGCTACGGCACAAATAAAACAAGTTCGGCGATCACCATACAGCATTCAGGTCCAATAATAGAAACGTGCTATGGCGAAATGGTGGATGGTGCCACAACAGTCCCATTCCAAGATATCACCAGCACACCATGTTCAGAGGGGAAAACAGAAAAAAATAAAGAATCTCACCTGTCAGATACATGGTGTCCATTAGATCAGAGATTAATTTGCTGTCCTCCTCCAGTTCAAGCTTAAGAAGACCCAGCTTCTTCCTCATTTTCTGCAAATAGTGTTTTTGAAACTCTGCATCATATTCTTCTTCAAGTATATTTTTACTTATGTCCAAGGACAGTTCAGGGACCAGAGCCTCGGCAAACTTTCCTAAATTCCACTTACAGATCGCTGGCTGCTTGTTGTAGGCATAACGTCCCATATTATCAGAGCCGTTACAAATATGATCTGGGTCATACCTATGAAATAAACGTGATGTTATGCGACATTCATGGTATACTACATCCATAGCCATATTTCGCTTACGTGACATTCATGGTATACTACAGCTACATGCATAGCCATATTTCACTTACATTATGTTCATGGTATACTACAGCTACATCCATATTTCGCTTACGTGACATTCATGGTATACTACAGCTACATCCATAGCCATATTTCGCTTACGTGACATTCATGGTATACTACAGCTACAGCCATAGCCATATTTTGCTTACGTGATGTTCAGGGTATACTACAGCTACATCCATAGCCATATTTCGCTTACGTGATGTTCATGGTATACTACAGCTACGTTCATAGCCATATTTCGCTAATAAGATGCATCAACAAAAATAAAAATATGAACAAAGCTGTGATTCAAATCACATGTGTATACCTGTAGCACAATTGGTCAATGCATTTAGAGTTGAAAAGCCAATGAAATAATAGATAAGAACCTCAAAATATACTTCCACAAGATGAGAAAAATGCCCAGTAAGGAGGACAACTTCGCAATGAACTTTTATTTCCAAAGTTGCTGAAGCAAATCTCCAAGAACTTGTAAATTTCATTGACTAGCTGCGCAAAAAGTATTTTCATTTGGACATGCGCAGTCAATGTGCTAAGTGATCAATGTCGCAGAGTTAGACATAGATCAACTGCAGAATAAACAATAAAAGTTAGCTGACAATTGCTTCAGCTGAAATCATCTTATTGCAAACAAGGTAATTATTAGGAAGGAGTTAAAGCTCTTAGCAAGGGTGATTAAAAGCTCAAGTGTAACCCCAGCCTAAGACGTAGGATATCAATCATGCTTAAAAGAGATCTATGGCCAAACCTTTATTGACCGTAGTTCGCTTTAGGGTCACAGCAGGACATTTACTAATGTTACCCGCTATATGATGAGCACTGAAGCCTTGAAAGATCCTCCCCGCTGCCCGATTGACATTTGGCTTTGCCTCTCCAGAGGCGGAGCCAGCTGTGCCCACCCCCTCTGTCCCTCCAGTCAGTGCTGGAGGAACGAAAAGGGGACGGGGGAATCCATGCAGGCAGCAATGACTGACAGACAATCACCACATTCTGCAGGGAGAAGATCGTGAACTGAGTGATCAGTGGTTTGTGACCACTCAGTTCCCGATCAATAGAGCCAACCTGTGACAGCTGCAGTGTCACACATCAGCTCTACCTATAGGGAGAATTGCATTTCACTCTCCCCATAGTTCTCCTTTAACCAATCTCCTGTGTGCAGACTGAATTCCTGTGGCAGGTCCATAGAAATAAATGGCAATGCATCTAAAGCATCTGATCACTCCATATTAAAATCTCTCAATCACACTACCCAAAAGCCCCTGAATACGCTATAAATATGCTATTAAGGTGGGCAACATACCTCAGTCAGCCATATTGAAATTACAATCTGGTAAAGGGTAAATAAATGGCGTGTGTATTTCCCTTAATAATCCCACACTAGGAAAGCTTTCCGACTGGAAATCTAATGTAGGAGCAACATCCTCCGAATACCTCCCTTTCAATTACTGATGGTGTTTTCCCAATATATCCCTTACAAAAGGTTGTGAAGAGTACAACATGCTCTCCATCACCTTGACATTGTATGCTTATACATGGTAAATATTCTCGATCAAACAGTGTAGTGGCAAAATCATGTATAGAACAATAAATACAAAAAAGTCACTTTTCATAATGATACAAAATCAAAACAAAAGTCCGAATCCAAACTTTCTGCTTTCTTTAATGGCCAACAGTATAGTTATAGTATACTGAGCTGCTATAACAGACCAAGCAAGCAAAGCACTAAATATTTGTTGTTGGCCACAAGGTTCTGATCTATTAATAATAGCGGTTTTGTACATGCTGCAGCCATACAAACCTGTCCAAAAAGCCAAAAGGTCCATAATCAATAGTAAGCCCAACAATGTTCATGTTATCAGTATTCAACACACCATGGCAAAATCCAACACATTGCCATTCAGCAACCATTCGTGCTGTCCTCCTTGTTATCTAGGAAGGAACAAAACAAACAAGAACAAATATCAAACCCCTTAAAAACAGCAGTGATATGAAGACACTTTAGAGAAAATAGACAATACAGGGTATTCATGAGGAACGTTTCAAAAAATTGGGAAATATCCATTTTGTTTTTAACAAGTTTTAATAGAAGATGGGCTAAAAATATAAAAAGCAGACAGGTATAATTGTATGTAACACGTAACTATGTACATGTTATAATCCTATACTGAAGGTGTATGTTTTTCTAATGGAAGATACTTACCAGAAATACATTTTTTGCGAGATATCTATCTAGCAATCTATCTCACACACATATTTAATTTTTTATATTTATATGGACTTCAACATTGATGCAACCTCTGATACATAGTTCAGAAAAAGTGTATGCCTGCAAAATATCTGGGTTTAGCTTTACTTACAGGTAGTTCCAGAGGTCAGACCTTTTCCTGCCACTTCTTGAGTATGTCAGAGCTATCTCCACAAAGATGGGGTGGGGAAGGTATAGTTTCATTTAGGTTTTAAATTCCTGCCCAAGTCATAACTGGGGAGATTTCCCCTGACTTCCTTTCCTAAAGACATTTGACCCAGTAGCCCAAGAGGAAGTAAGGGCTAAATCCCTCTGTTTACAGTTTTCATGTGGTCTATATGTTCACATCATGGCTGTTGAGCTGCATTTTCTGCACACCAGCATATATGTATGGTGTGAACAGGGCACATAATAAGCAATTGCTCTCTATGTGCCCTGTCTACACCATACATGTGTGGTGGTGTGCAAAAAAGCGCAACGGACATGGTGTGAAGACCCAAGAGATTTCCCCACTACTGCTGTTCTGGTGGCAGGCAGATTCCTAAACATCTTTAAATTAGGGGTTGTAAAACAGCATAAAGCAATGAAATCCCACTACCTCTCTGAAAAACACAGCGTTTCTCTCCATGTTGTTTCCTGCATACTTCTCCTGTATGTCTGGGTAGAATGTGCCAATAACATAATCCAACATCTGAATTCGGATGTCATTTCTGTTGACACTGGGACCTTGTCGACCTGTAAATTCATCAACTGGCTTAAAAATTTCAAATGATCCAAACCTGCTCAAATAACAAAAACAAAGAAGCACAATATTCAGTAACATGTTTGTCACACAACAACAACAACTGATTCATAAAGAGAATCTATTTTAGGCAATATTTTTTTTTTAACGCTACTCAGTGCTGACTGGACTTTGGTGTAAGTGTGTCTGGAGCGGGAAAGGGAGATCCCAAATCAAAGTGTAACACAGCTGAGGATAATGCTGGTGTCCAAGATAGATCTCTGTAGAGAAGACAGCTCTGATCCACTAACCCATGAAGCCCAAGTAATGGTACCACTATTTCACAGCAGGAGTTCTAAATATTGGATTATTCTAAGTTATGAAGAGTTACAGCATTATTTGTCTTTCTAATGGGTGTGAAAGCTGGACAAAACTGGGTGCTGAAATTCTGAGACGCATAAGGAGTCCGCATGTGATTCAATCTGCCAGCCTTCATACAAACATCAATTTCAGCTTAGGCAGAGATAGACTTTGAAGTAAACCAGTCAGTCTTTGGAGATTTCTTGATTGAACAAAGTCAGAATCCTAGTAAAGTTAGTGGTTTTGTGGCCAACAAAGTTTATAGTCAGCATCTTGTGTGTTTCTCTAAAGAAAGGGTCTTCTGGCTTAGTCCAGCCTAAATGTTTCAAAAGGAAAAAGGGGCCGATTTTAATTGATTGGAATCAATAAAAGTCCATGCCAACACTTGTCCTAACACAAGTTGACATGTAATGCAAAGGTCATGTTTCTACTGATTACAATGGAAGCGCATGTCCCTGCCATGAGCAATATGACCAATCATGGCTATTAAAGATCTCCTTCAGAAAATGCTAGCTGCCTGGTTTTATACTGACTCAGTGGATTTAATACTCATGCCACACTGACCCAGAAAAAGTATACAGAGCATGAAAAGTGGGATCCAGAGGGTTATTATGACAAAGAGGCAATTAGCATTCTCAAACAAAAGGTTTAGTAAAGGCACCCCCTATGTTTCTTTGATGACAGCTTTCCATTAAACTATCTGACATGTTCCGCTTATGCAAATACCTTACTCTTGGGGTAAGTTGGTATTAATTGTCGATTTTACTTGCCTTGATGATTGCATAGGCAGCATTTTCAAATTTGACATAACGATCTACTAATACGAGCTAAGAATGGATTCAACAGGCTTGTAAGCCTGTCACTGCTCTGCTGGTCACTGGTTCTGCTTGTCAATGGTCACAAAGGTGTCAAAGTGAAAAGGTCCAATGGGTTTTAATGCATCAAATCCAGACCTTTACATATTCCGAACACTGCATGCAATTATTCTTCATTTGTACTCTTAAAAATGTAATTACCTTAGAAAAGTGGGAGCGACGCGTAAAACTACTGTGCACTTTTCTTTCTTGGGGTTGCCATCGTAATATATGTCTCTGATCACAGTGGAATCGGAGGTGACACATGACACAGCTCTTGTCGTTGGTATTCCAAGGTGAAACATGGCTTCACTGCACAGGAACTCTCTTATGGTGGATCGCAACACTTTTCTGCCATCTGCTTGTCTAAGAAAGAAAATCATGGTTAATAAAAGCCCATCGTCCCTGATCACCCCTCATTTACCAGAGCAGGGCCACTTCAACCTCATCAGCGCCAATACTTCCTAAATCACTCAAACTGGGAGGTCAGAGAGAGTCCTCTAATCAGTCCCCATCAAGCACAGCAAGATCTTCTTTCTCCATATTTCTGATGCTTGGTTAAGGAAAGTGGTAATTACAGTATACAAGACAGAGTTCCCGTTATCTCCCTCTTTTTGCTTTAAACCACCTATCCCCAGCCTCAACTTTTTCCCCTCTTTCTCCTCATAAAGCCTCTGCTCTTCTCAAGATTGTACAGAGGCTTGTTGCCTAGGAAGTGACAATTCCGGAGCCCTCTCTGAAACATTACCAAGCCTTTTATTCAAACCGATTTACAATGTCCAGGAAAAACAGGTCAGTCCATCCCATTCCAGGCCTCTGAGCCTCTACCTCTAGAAGTTGCAAATGGAATCTCTCTACAACAAAAAGACAAAGGCCCAAGTGCAAATCCAAGATTCCCATGTTTTTGCACGAATACTTCTTCCGCTTTGCAATAGTGGATCAGCAATCCTGGTTTAAGGCATTGCCTTTTGGGTTGGCCACAGAGCATTTAGCCCCAGGGCCGGTAAAACTCAGAACTAGGGGCATATTATTCACCACCGAAACTTATTTCTTCTGATCTGCCCCTGGCACGGCACTATCTATTATAGACCTCTGAGTGGCCCCTAGCCGAGTAATATCTATGATACATCGCCCATCTCCTCTGTAGGAGATGTTCCTACTTCCATGTATGAACAGACTTGCCTGGAGTAAGGGGTGAGGCCGGCTCCTTTCAGTTGAATCTCCCACCTCTCCCCGGCCGGGTTCAGTACTTCTCCCAGGTACATGGCGGCGCCATCACCCAGCTGCCCGGCGAAGCTCCCGAACTGATGTCCGCAGTAGCAGTGGGCGGCGGGCTGTGAGCCGGGTAATAGTCGGTTACCGCTGAAATACAGAGCTGCCTCGTCCTGGTCTTCGTCTCCGAGCTGCACGCCGAGCAGAGCCAGCGCCGGCTGGGACAGCGCCACCACCTGGGGGTTCTCTAGCGGGGTGGGTCGGACCGGTGAGAAGCAGGCCCCGGGTACCTCGCGGGAGCGCACGGCGTCATCGTCCTGCCCGTCCCCGGGCTCCACCGGCAAACAGCGCAGCGCCCGGTTATCGAAACGCAGAGAGCGAAGGCTGGAGGCCGGACTAGCAGAGCTCTGCACAGCGCGCTTCATCATACCCACAACGCCGGTAAGCAGAGCGTCCATCCGGGAGAGCGGAAGGGTCACAGCCGACCGTGCCAAGTGTTGGAGGGCACGTGTCACTCCCGGTGCCATCCGCGTGCCCAAAACATTGACCCCTCCAAACACTGAAGTCACATGACCCGCGTGCCAAAACAGAAGTTGGCTCCTCCCACTGTGACATAAAAAACTTCTACTACCCAATCAGGAGCTGGACCGACTGGTGACGTTAATGACAAAGGGGGCGGGAGGATGAGCCCTGGCGGAGATAGGCGTGTCCCAGGAAGAGGCGATGCTGGATTCACATTAACCTGTTGGACGGAAGATCCAGCTTTGCTTCTTCCTGGAACTCCTCTGATTGCATGAGTTCCGAGGGTCTCAGTGTGCTATAGTGCCTTGGTTCTCACCTGGTGGGTCGTGACCCCATTTTTAGTGGGTCACTGCATGCCTTCCACTTTTCTAGGTGAGAGGCTCCTCTGCCTCCCCCTAGCGCAGCACTGTCAGTTCTCCTGCCAAGCATCCATTCAGTATATGCGGCACAGCATCGAGTGTCAGCTTGAGGTGGGATAGGATGGGGCTATGGCCGCGAGGGAGCTCCATCCATACATGCATTGCTTACAGCTCCCTCACATGTCCTGTAGAGGTGTCTGGACCAGAGTAACGCACTGTAACACGCAATCACACCTGTGTTCTGGTGTGGGAGATATGTTGCGTTGCCATTCATTTGAATGGTACCCCAAACACAACTCCCACCCACAGTTCGATCGCCCGCACCGGAACGCGCGTTACCGCAATGGTGAAACCCCACAGAGCCCTGGTAAGACCATACAAAGCCCTGGTATAACCAGGGCTCTGTGGGGACTGGTTAGACACCACAGAGCCTGGTAAAACCCCACAGAGCCCTGGTTAAACCAGTGCTCTCTAGGGTCTCACCAGGGCTCTGTAGGGTCTAACCAGCTTGGTTAGACCCCACAGAGCCCTGGTGAGATCGCAAAGAGTCTTGGTGAGATCCCAAAGAGCCCTGGTTCAACCAGGGCTCTATAGGGTCTCACCAGGGCTCTGTAGGGTCTCACCAGCCCTAGGTAAACCCCAAGGAGCCCTAGTTTAACCAGGGCTCTGTGGGGTCTAACCAGGGCTCTGTAGGGTCTCACCAGCCCTAGGTAAACCCCAAGGAGCCCTAGTTTAACCAGGGCTCTGTGGGGTCTAACCAGGGTTCTGTAGGGTCTCACTAGGGCTATGTGGGGTCTCACCAGCCTGGTGAGACCCCTCAGAGCCCTGGTGAACCCCACAGAGCCCTGGTTAAACTAGGGCTCCTTGGGGTTTACCTAGGGCTGGTGAGACCCTACAGAACCCTGGTTAGACCCCACAGAGGCCTGGTTAAAGCAGGGCTCTGTAGGGTCTCACCAGCCCTAGGTAAACCCCAAGGAGCCCTAGTTTAACCAGGGCTCTGTGGGGTTCACCAGGGCTCTGAGGGGTCTCACCAGGCTGGTGAGACCCCACATAGCCCTAGTGAGACCCTACAGAACCCTGGTTAGACCCCACAGAGGCCTGGTTAAAGCAGGGCTCTGTAGGGTCTCACCAGCACCAGGGTTCTGTAGAGTCTCACCAGGGCTATGTGGGGTCTCATGAGGGCTATGTGGGGTCTCACCAGTCCTGGTAAACCCCACAGAGCCCTGGTGAAAACATACAAAGCCCTGGTTTAACCCCAAACCCCAGCCAGAGATCCTCGTGTGGTGGATGGAAGGGTAGAGGTCTCTTCTCATTGGCTGGTGGGCAGAGCTCCAGAAGACCGAGTGGATGGACCGTACAGACGATCGAGGAAACGTATGAGCGCTCAGCCCTGTCACTGTCAAACTGAGAGTCTCAGTTTGACAGCGGCAGGGCTGAGAGCTCACAGCGTTACCTGACTGCGAGCGAGGTGATGTGCTGTTCCGACAGGGCAAACAAGGCGCCCCTATTATTCATACATCTCACTCAGCAGCTGCTGCTGTTCCCTTCCCCCCCCAGCTCCAGATCATTGCTGGCTTACCTTACCAGTGCAGTGACTTGACTACACACAGGCTCTGCCGCTCAGCCTCCAGCTGTGAGAGCTCCGCGGCTGCCCCTGAGGAAAAAAAAACCCTTCTTGCATGTGGCCCAGGGCAAGTGCCCTCTTTGCCCTGCGTTAAAGACGGCCCTGCACATGGGGAGTCATTAGACGAGTTTGTGGCTCTGTACTCGCATCTTTACAAATCAGTATACACAAATGAAAGGGAGCAAACCTGGCATTTTCATGTACGGTTAACGAATACACACCGGTGCCCAGGCTCCTCCCACTTCTGGAAAAGTGTTTCGACCTCTTACAATCTTCTTCATCAGCCACTGTGAGACACTTCACCCTTCCAGGTGTATATGCTTCTATAGCATTGACAGCTCAAGCCAAAGGAGGCCATACACTATACAATCAGATTGTACAATCTCTTTACCAAAACTATGTAATTTGAGGACATGATATGAGGGATATACCAATACTACATTCGTATCAAGTGCCGATACCGAGTATTTGGGTTAGTACTCGTACTCGCCCAAATGCCCCTGATGCCTATCCTGATACCCGAACCTCCGGTATCAGGAAGCCAGGCGGCGAGTCAGCACACGGCTCCATGCTCCCTTGTCACCAAGTGACGAGGGAGCATGGAGCTGGCTTCCCGCCCAATCAGGAAGCTGGCAGCAGGTAATGACTCAACGCCCAGCTTCCTGATTGGTCAGGAAGCTGGCCAATCAGGAAGTTGGTGGCGAGTCATTACCCGCCCCCGGCATCCAAATTGGCCAGAAAGCTGACTCTATGCTTCCTCGTCACCTGGTGACAAGGTAGCATGGAGCCGATGTAATGGCTCACCGCCCAGTTTCCTCATTGGTTGGGAAGCTGGCCAATCAGGAAGCCAGGTGGCGAGTCATTACCAGACTACCCGGCTTCCTGATTGGCCAGAAAGCTGGCTCCATGCTTCCTCGTCACCTGCTGAAGTCTTCCCTGCTAATCGGAAAGTCATTACGCGCTGCTCAGCTTCCTTAATTGGAATTTCGGTATCGGCGAGTACCGAAAAAAAAAATATCGGTACTCGATACCGAAAAACCGGTATCGGTGCATCACTACTTCTGGGACATATTCTGAAAAGATATTGCACTTCTTTTGTTTTTCTGTTGTTTCTATCAGATTTATTTTTGCCTTTTCTACACATTATTCATGACAGAATCAGGGGAACTTCACCCAAAAGTGCACAATAAGTCTCTGTTCACTCACCTCGTATGTGCTCTTCTCTATCTACACCTCCTCCCTTGGTAAGTTGATAATCTCGCATTCCATTACCATCTCTATGCCGATGACACTCCGCAACTCACTCCCTCTGTGTCCTTGCGTGTCACTAAGCTACTAACTGACATATCCGTCTGGATGTCACAACACTTCTTCAAACTCAACCTTTCAAAAACTGAGCTCTTGATATTTCCTCCCACTCATGCACCTTGCACTCTAACCTTGAGATCCATGCCAAGGTCCTAGCTGTCATCCTTGACTCGGACCTCACCTTTCTTTCCCACATCCAATCACTATCCAAATCCTGCCGCCTTCACCTTCGTAACCTCTCCAAAATACGCCCCTTCCTGATCAATGAAACCGCAAAATTACTCATCCACTCACTTGTTATACCTCGCCTTGACTATTGCAACTCCCTCCTCATTGGCCTACCTCTACACAGTCTATCCCCCTTTAAGTCTATCATGATAGCTGCTGCTAGACTCATTCACCTAACCAACCGCTCAGTGTCTGCAACCCCCCTGACTTACAAAGCTATCCACAACTCAGTTCCCGACTATATCTCCAACCTTGTCTCAAAGTATCACCCCCAACTGTCCTCTCCGCTCCCAAGATCTCCTGCTCTCTGGTTCAGTGGCGTAACAACCGGGGGGCAGGGGGGGGCACTTGCCCCGGGCGCAGGACTGAGGGGGGGGCGCCGTCACGACCCCCGCTAAACGAAGCCCCTGGCTCCCTCTCTCTGCCACATTCACCCGGCTGTCATCGGGCGGCCGCTCGCTCCTCCGCGGCACACCTCCAGGACTTCTCTAGTTTAATTCCCATACTCTGGAACTCTTTACCACAACCAGCCTGTCTATCTCCTACTCTGACTGCCTTTAGGTGATTCCTAAAGACTCATCTCTTCAGGGAAGCATATTTCACCTCAACCTTACCACCGCACTATCACTTTCTCAAACATTTCATCCCCGCACAGCTACCTCCTCATGTATCACTTGCCCCTCCCTTTTAGATTGTAAGCCCTCACGGGCAGGGCCCTCCTTACCATCTTGTCTTGATTTGTATTGTAACTGTTATGACTTCCTAATATTGTAAAGCGCTGCGCAAACTGTTGGCACTATATAAATCCTGTATAATAATAATATAGAACACATCCTGTGAAGAAGCCTGCCATAGCGAAACTTGTAGGTTCATGTGGTATTTCATCTTGGAGGCTCCCGCTTACCACATCGTCATTTGCTTACTGCAAGATGTTTCCCTTAGATTGGTCTGCTCCTCACATCTAATCTAAATTAACTTAATCCACGCTCCTAGACTCCACTCTAATAGTACTAGCAGGGGGGGCTTATTTGCATCGGGTACCCCTCTAATTAAGGGGGCACCCAGATGCCGCCGACCCCCCTTTTGAATGAGTAAAGGGTATTTGTACCCATACTCATTCACTAAAGGGTTAAAAGTAAATAAAGAAACCACACTTTTTGAAAAAGTCCTTTAATTGAAAAAAACCAGACTTAATTTCTTTATGTGAGAAAACGCACATACGATTTGCGATGCCGATCTGCCCTGGAACAGCTGAGAAAGCGTTGGAATGCTTGACCTATTGGCGGTCACACATTCCACCGCCAAAAAACTGGCTCGCGGTATACTGAGCCTGGGGTGACGGGAGGACGCTAGTTTGTGTCCTCCCGTTACCCTAAGGAGAACTATGGGGAAAAGGCTTAACCCCATAGTTCTCCTTTAAATACTTTCATGTAAAATATTCTTGTGGAACATTGGACACTTCCAGCTGTGGAAGAGGCTCCTTTATCCTGCAACTTCCCTATAACTCCCCACTGCTGCAGGGACAGACTCACATTATC